TGATATAAAGTTTCCTTCCACACATCCATCAACTCATGCATGCATAATTTCATTTATTTCTAATACTATCACAAAACAACATGTTTGTCCATCATAACCACATTTATATGATTGCTTCCCCATCCAAGACAATGATAGGCTATTTTATCTGCTGGCATTCATGTATAGCGTTTTCTACTCTGGATGCGCCTTCCAATTCCAACTACTTGCTCATGCATTTGGCCAAGTCTTATATGGCCACACACTTGCATATATTACATAAATATTAATACGTATTTATTTATACATGATATATGTAATTTATTGATCCATAAGCTGGATTTTTCTTCTCTTTCTGATAGTTAAGAGGCCGCTTCTGTGTAGAACAAATATTGAAACTTCTGAAATGCCTTGTGTGGAGAGAATTAGCTTTGATTAATTCATGTTTTAGTCTGTCTACAATGCTTTTGTATCCCTCCTTAACATTATTGTTTTTCTTCAAATTGAAAATTCAGGAATATTTTCTATGGAGAGTATAACAACGTTGGAGCAGGTGCTGACATGTCAAAGCGAGTGCCTTGGGTGGTTCATCTCAGCGGAGTACAGGATGCTCAGTTTACAGGCATAAAATTCATCGATACGGATGGATGGATAGGTAGACAACCCTACTGATGTCTTGCTTTGTTGTTTGATTTGCAATTGTATCTTTTACCAGTTGAGCCATAATTTGTAACTCCAAGAAACAACAAAAATAAAGAAGTGATATTTATTTGGATTACCAATTCTTCGATCTGATTACCAATTTTTCAATCGGTTCACTGCCTCTGATTCTGATTATGCTGTAGTTTGTAGAATCAAAGCTCTCTCTCTCTCTCAGTTGTTGTGGATTGGATGGTTCCTTGTTTGATTTTCCACTATTTTATCTCACTAAATTTGCAAAGTACTAAGACCCTGTTATTTAGCTTAATTTGGTGGCACAATGGAAAGCCATGTCACCATCTTTTGATATTTTTTAAGTATATATGTTCTATATTACCCTAAAAATGCATGACCAAAAGTGTTTTCTCAGACCACATCTCTTGGGTTATTCTTCTTCCCATTGTTATAGAAGAGGGGAAAAATAAGTTTTTTTTTGTAATTTGCTTTATACTTTTACTTGGCATTTCTTAAGGTCATATCTGATGGGCCCAAAAAGGAAGGAAGGCACATGGTTAAATTCGACCATTGTAAGAGAATAAATTGAGCGTTGAATTCCTTTTTTCTCGTTTCTTTTTACAGATATGGTCCAGCAGAAATGATCAAAAGTTCCGAACATGAAGTGACCTGCACATAATGAAAGGACTTCTTTTCTATAAAATGATCAACTTCAGCAAATAAGATAATTTCTAAAATTCTCTCAGTATGGATTAGTGAGCATGTGCTAATAAAATTCTCTAGTGCGTGTACTACTCATCAAGGTTCACAAACTGGGTTTGGATCCGGACTTGGGCCCTACCTGAGCCGAGTAACTTAGGCGAATCCGGTTGGACTCGTCCCCCAGTACTGTAGACTTAAAAGGCCCTGAAACATATTTCATAAAATTGGTTAAAAATACAGTAACAATAGAAAAAGTCAAACTAAACTAGAAAACGACAACAAAAAGTCCAACTAACGTGTAGTAGCAATAATAATAATAATAATAATAATGATAATGATAATGCATGAATTTAAAAAAATTTGGTTTTCAGCTGGATAGATTTTATAAAAATACAAAAAAAGCGATAGATATCAAAACAATAGGTATGGCAAGAAAACCAAATATTCATCAAGAACATCCAAAAATATTTACACATTGATTTCAGAATTAATATTAAATGTATCTCTTTTATCTTTGCCCTGAAATTTTCCAAAGTACTTGGCTTGGCAAGTGGCCAAGGCCAAGTAGGTTCCACCATGGTTTCGAGATTAATGGTCCATTTGTAGTTCAAATATTCAAATCGGCCCCATGACTAGAGACATACAACTCACTGATTGGAAGTGTGAAATAGTAGAAAATCTGCACATCTTTCAAACTTATTTTTGTTTGTAATTAAGTGGGGAAGACAAACCCCTACTTGCTCTTTCAAATTGTCTAGAAGTTAGTTTTTTAAAGGTATTAATGGGGTGGTGTCCGTAAGAATGAAAACCACACTTATTGTTTTTTCAAATAGTCTAGAAATTAGTTTTTTAAAGTATTAATGGGGTGATGTCCGTCAGAATGAAAACCACAACGTCGTGAATGAGTGTGGGGCTGCTACTGCCAACCCTAGCCCCATGCCTATGTCTCTCGAACTTTCTCAAACTTTCATGTGAAGAGTCCTTGTACTTATAATAAACCATTTGTAACAAGAACGCAATACAACTCGTTTATACTGCTGCACCACCATATTGGAAACACAATGCATTTGTCAAATATAACAAAGGAAATTTTTATATGACAAATTCTTTGAGACATCCTGAGGCATTCATTACAGAACGGGCCACATGGTAAATTTGGTTTACAGGTGGATTTTTCGAACTCGAAATAGGATATTTATCACTTTATGGAAGATACCCTGAGTATACGAAAGGTTTTTGGCTACCATCCAAACGACTGCTGAACGAATTCAATGCATCACATATAGGGCCAGGAGTGGATTGGGTCAGGTCCGAGTCGACTTAGACCTAGACCTAATCTGACTAGGTTTAAGTTCGACTTGGACAGGGGTCGGTTCCAAGTCAATTGGAGCCAGACACGACTGAGTGGGTCAACTTGGGTCCGGGTTTAGAAATTTTTAAAAATAAAAAATGGTGTTGTATATTCTGTAAAATATATTTATTATAAAATATGTATGTATTATAAAAAAAAAATATGGTCGACTTGGGTCCGGGTTGAATGAGAATATATATATATATATATAACATGGCTTAGATCTAATAGAATCATCTGGTTCACTATTAAGAGCATGGCGATTCTTGAATAAAAGTCAATCAGTTATAGAAATTATCGCAAATATACCTATATTTTCACAAAATTAGAAAAAAAAAAAACTCAAACTTTCAAAAACCTCATTCCTTTCTAACTATTTTTGGGTTTTTTTTTAAAGAAAATGCCCTTCATGATAGTCATTTTATCGTAAAGAATATTATGGTAATTTAAATCTCGGAATGACTAGCAATTCTTATACAGTAATTTATTTACCGTAATTATTGGAACGTTTTATACGGTAGTTTAATTACCGTAATGTAATAACATTCAATTGCGGTAATCGATTGATCGATCTATCGTAATACTTTAGATATATTATACGGTAATTAAATAACCGTCATGTTCTCTTGCCTTTTTTTACCTTTTTCTTTGCATAAAACCCTACTTTCATGATTCGATTTAGGTTTTGGGGCTTTTGGTTTAGGGTTTATAAGGTGCGAAACAATTACGGCATTTCGATTGCCGTAATAAGTCTTGAAGTCATTATGATATTAAGAATACTGTAAATAAAAGATTAGCTATTATGGTACTCGAAGCACCGTAATGCAACTTCATATTATTATGGTATTTTAAATACCATAATATTATCTCAAATTATAACGGTATTTAAATTACCGTAAAGGTTAACATGCATACAGTAGAAAGACTACCGTGAAGGTTATTTACATCCAATAAAAGCTAAAATTTGTGAAAAAAAGTATATGTATATTAATGATAATTTCCCTTTAAAAAAATTGAGCAATTCCTGAAAATTTCACTTTCTTGATATCGTTCTAGGACAATGAAATTCTGGAAATTAAAATTTGGCTCCTTTTGAAAAATCTGCTCACGTATGTGGTTTTTAAGTTTTCTTCTATAATATGTTGGGTTTTCTCTTCACATAGTGTTAGAAGACAACTTTTAGAAAACGAAAAAGTTTAACTACAAATGCACCTAAAAAATTTATTGAAAAAGGTTATTTTGATGGTGAATAACTCCTAATTGATCATATTGACATCGATATGTATGAATATGAAAATAAAAATAAAATAAATTTTGAGTCCTAAAAATAATGCATCTTACAACACATTATCTAGACCATCCATTTTCAAGATTTCATATGTTTATAGATCTATTTGATTTTAATCATATTTGAAGTTCAAAATTTTATAATTAGAAATGAAAATAGATTTTGAGAAAATCCTAAGAATTTTTTATACCAAAATTACATGTTATGTTAAAATTTGGAGGTGCACCTTAATTGGATTGTTTAAGGTTGCAACCTTATAAAAACCACAGCTTTGAGACAATATTTGACCATTTCAGATGGGATTTATCTATATTCCTTATTTATTTATTTGGTAAAAAAAAAGCCTCATAGAAATAATGTATTTTTGTTGTTTTAATGCAAAACTTCGTTAGAGTTTCAGGAGTCTCAAATTGTTTAGAAAAAAACAATATCTTGAGGGCATTTTAATGCTAGATTTAGTTGTTAACTGCTGATCAATAGGTAGATTATGCACCTTCTCATCGATTTATTATTTATTTAGGAGAAATATGCATTTTCACTCTTAAAATTCGAGAAAATGTCAAACTTTTCATTTGAGCATTTTCTCTTTCTTTTTTTTTGTAAATTTTATGTCTTCTTGAACCATTCTTAGTGTCTTCAAGATTTTTTTTTTATTTTCAAAAAAAAATTGTGATTTGTCCGGAAAAATTTGACTCCTTTTGTTTGTGATTCTGCTGTATATTCAGTATTTTTGAATTCCTTCTTCATGTAATTATTGTTTTGGTTGTTTATTAGTCTTCATTATGACGTTCCTTATTTTCATAATTTTTAAGGAATTATTTCATGAATTTTTATATTAATAAATAGAAAAAATATTATATATATTATATTTGATGTTATTAAAAAAATATCTAATGGTTTCCGGAATTATAAATATATCCCTTTTTTTAGCTTCGTAACACTCTTTTTTAAAAAAAAAAGACAAAGGACCATTGAAAAACCGAAAATTAGAGAACTTCGATTTTTTAGATTTCTCCTTTAAAATGACTTCTTTGACCTCAGCTCTCTTTTTCATCTCGTAGAGTTGCCTCTCTATGCAACGCCTTCAAGAGTTGTTTTACGTTATGCCATGCTCTCCCCAAATAAAACAGACCAGACCAGACCAGACCAGAACCAAACACTTGATAAGATTTAAAGATGAAACCCCTACCATCTGTTGTTGATTCTCGTCCATTAGCAGTAATCGCCGGATAACCATTAAAATTTGCAGTGGGAATGGGAACTACAGACACCGTGCAATTCTGCAATGTGTTATTGGTATCAAAACCACATCTAGTGATTTTCTGTGGTCCGCCTTAACTTGATTGTTTAGAGACTCATCACTTTATAAACTTTTTTTAACTATATCCAATTATAAAAGGGCCAATGCACAATGTCTAATTGCAAAAATAAAATAAAATGATGTTTAGACGTCATACCTCATAAATGGAGTGCCCTTCGCCATAAATAAAATCACTTGCTCCTTGAAGTAATGCCTCTCTTTGTAGTCGGCCAATGTATCTTGATAGCCGTAAAAGCCCGCATTCATAAATGCAGCTGCAACTCCCTGTGCAGGGACGTTACGGGGAAAAGTATTCTGCTATGGATTTCACATCTTAGTCACTGTTAAATGAGTTTTGCAAAAAATATGTGAGAAAAACCAGAGCTAAACATATAAATTGAAA